TGTGGGGGGGGGGGGGAGGGGGGGGCGAGAGAGGGAGGCAGAGAAAGGAGTAGATAATATGAAAACACAGGTTAAGAAACAAGTGTCTTTACGACCTCCCCCCCCCCATCAAGAGCAGTTGCGGTTGTCTCTGCGACGCTGCGCGCTTGTTGCGCAACACACGGGAGAGACCACTGTGTCAGCAAAACGAAAAAATCGCGATATTGTCCCCACTCACCGCACAGAATGCAACACATCCCCTTCGACTTTCGTAATATCTGGAACGGGTAGTCGTTCTGTGATTGCACATTCTAAACAGTACGCCCTAAAAAAAGACTCAGTCAAGAAACCATAAAACGCCCTATGCCATCCTCCCAAACCTTCCGCTGCAGGAGGAGTAGGAGGAGGAGGCATACCTGGTCCTCCAAGTAGGAGGCGTCGCTCCAGCGCAGCACCATCACCGACAGCACGTTCTTGGCTGAGGAACCGTAGAGCACTCGCTCCGTCACCTCGAACTCCGCCGGTAGACGGCTGTCCTTCGAGAATCCCACCTGGGTTTGTGTGTGTGTGTCGGGTCAGGGCTGTAGATGCAAACGCCATCTTATTTGTTGAGCCGTTTATGAATGAATATGCATACGTCATACAATCATGCCGTTGTTAATTTGTATAGCATTTTCCCTCAGCTGGGTCTAATTATCGCCCTCCGACCGATCGACCCAGGTGATTGCACCGCCGTAGTTACCTCGGCCTTCACCCATCGCAGCAATTCTTGCGTTTTCACAGTACAAAAGGGAAAAAAAGTCCAGCTTCTCCCTCAAGCCCCCCCCCACCCACTGCACATATACTCTAAAACCGGGGATCTGTCGCCATTTGCATGGTTGCCAGGGGCGACAAAACAGCACTCACACCCGAAATCGTTAGCGCCAAGAAAAAAAAAAAGAAGGCAAACATGAATCTTAACCCCACAACGCCAAAGCTTTTCCCTCCATCCGCTCACCAAGTGCCCGTTCACCCAAGCGAAAAACGCGCTGTCGACACCCGCAAAGTGCAAGATAACCCTCCTCTGCTCCACCGCCGTCCTCCCGCCGCCGCCGCCGCCGCCGGAGGTTCCCCAGGCATCGGGGAGGGAGAACTCGAGGCGGTAGCACCCCGTCGGGTTGTCCGCGGGGACGGTGGGAGGGTTAACCGGGAAAGGGTACTGTATGTTGGTGTAGATAGGCACGTCGTAACCCTGCGAGGTGCGAGGAGCGGGGGCGTGCCGGAGGGGGGGGAGCGTACGCATGTTTTGCATTCGTTACAATGTACGAAGTGGCTGTTATATCGTTGACCACGCTTCCTCGAGAGGGACGGAGCATTCATCCAACAGATACGATCACCGATGGCCGATCGTTCTTTCCTGCTGTGCCAAAGGTGGCTCATAACAAATATTCCCCCTATCCTATCAACGGGGGTGTGACGGGGGAGGCGTGTTTCGCGTCAACTGTAGATGTCGGGCGGTGTGGACGGGGCCGTCGTGACGGCTAACGGGGAAACAAAGAAAAACGGGAGAAAGAAGGGACGGGTTTTGAGGGAGACACTTTGCGCATGGAATTGTTCCATTCCGCGCCACAGGCCCCTTGTAGCATTCGTTCGTTCGAATCCCCGAACAGGTTGTCGAAGGCACTAGGCAGGTGCTCATTGCATCGCAGGCGCGGAGCACCGTCTCGCGGGAGTGTTGTTTGTGGCCTGCGGATCAATCTCGCATAAAGGGTCAGAGTTTCAGTTGCATACAACTTGTGGGGGGGATTCTGGGTGGCAGGGCTAGCGCCCGTGCAAGCGACGGCTTTGCAAGCAGGAAATAGCTCTTCTCGTCGCCGCGTGACTAGCACACCGTCGTCCAAGAAAGAACGCCCACAATAAAAACAAGAGCAGCAGCAGAAAGAAAAACAACACCGCAACCCAAACGAACTGAGCAAAGTCAACCATGACCAAGTCCGGATGCCCAACCATGACCACCACCTCCGGACCCCCATCTTGCCTGCATCTGCCAGCAGCTAGGAACCGGAGTGTCCCTCCAGCGGCCGTCCGCCCCGCGCACGCCGCCGCTTCCTCCCCCGCCCCCCTCCGAGGAAACGCCGCTACCGCCACGTTCCAGAAGGCCTCCCGCAGCAGCCTCCCGGAATTTTCTAGAGAAAAATCTGGAGGCCAGCGCGTGCTCCGGGCAGGAGTGCAGGGCGAACCTCCAGGTACCGTCGAGGCTCAGAACGTTATTGGAAGCTTCTGGAAGCTCCGGGTTTGCCCTGTTAAGGACAAAAGATAGACATTAGAGACAGAGCCCTTCAACGAGAGCCAACGGACAAACCAAACGACGGTCCAGTGGTACCTGGGTATCTGTTTCGCTTGCTGCTTTGGAGTGTCTCGAAATCGCCTGAGGATGCGGTTCGACAGCCGCGTTGCGAATGCATCACCCCAGGTTGGTTGATGTAGACACGCTCAGTAGCGGTAAAAGCGACGGGGGTGGAACATGCCATCACTCCGTCGCACACACAAAATCAGCGGTGATTTGGATTGGCGAGATCGACCCACAGGCCGTTTCTTGCGGGCCCCTTCTAAGTGCAAACCGGGGGATCGATGACAATCACAAAATCCTCTATCCATAGACTACAGCAGTAGCATTTCTTGGATTGTGTGTGGCAACAACGCTGCTGGGAGGATGAGAGCGTCGCGTGGAATGCGTGAAAAACGTGAAACAGTTCTCGAAACCTTCCTCACGCCGGCGATAGAGGACCCCCGGTCATTACCGACACAAGGACCCCCGGTCGTCACCCCCCGATAAATTACAAAGCTGCCGATAATTTACGCAACCACTTTGTACAAGGATAGACAGACGCGTTGTTTTTTTTAGCAAACAAGGTTTGATCATTGTTGTATCGCAAATCTAGCCAGTTCACTTGTCTGTGGATAGAGATGATCCGTGGTGGTTTTGCAAGAAGAACAACAATACAAGCCGTGAGCGCAAGCAAGGGTGAAAGTCGGTGGGAACGCGTTGGGATGACACCATTTGTTTTTCTCGGGATGGGGGCTTAACCGTGCGTCGAGCGACACGCACGGTCGGGACAGTCAACACAGGTTATCGATACCATACATATATTGTAGGTCACGCAACGGTTGTCTCATCTGGCAAGGCGCACACATGAACGAGATTGCTACACAGCAGCAAGGAAGTCTCAACTTCCTACGTGCAGTGTCTCCCCATGGAAAAAATAACAAGAAACACACCAAACAGAACGACTTGACAAGCGAGACACGACTGCTTCATGCATTATAGGAGATGCGCTGGGGTCCAAAACGCCGAGACTCGAGACATGACGTCCGCAGCCAAAGCAAACAAAAAATCCACAACAATGGTTGAGAAGGTTGCAGAACCTTTTGCTCCAAGACTCTTTCTCGTGCTGCTGTCGCCACGGCAGTAAGAGCAAACGGGGGGCAACTCCTGGGTGGTAAAAAAAAAGCACGGTCTTGCGTGTCTGAGCAGTTGGGAATGGCCGCGGTTGCAGGTGTTGTCCTGTCCTGCTGCAACAGCGGCAGGTGAACATAACGGAGACAGCTCCAGGCGGATCCCCTTTTGCAGCGAGTCGTCAGTTCAGGGGTGAGAGTGGGGCGCGACATGTATCCGGCATCGGCATTTTTCTTTCGGGCTGGAACGTCCGGGCGCTAGATACCAATATGCTCGGACAGGTAGTCTTTCTTTGGATCCTATGCAGTACCAATCCACACTTGTATGCATAGCTATGCTTCCAAGTGCGTTGCAAGCATGCACAGCAGCAGCAGCTCACCTCGCTTGTTGAACTGACGAAAAGGCTCCCAAAGTCGTCCTGGCCTTCAGCTTTCTGAAGCCGAGAACAAGCGGATTCTCCCAGCAGCGGGGGGTTGCTGTGAGCAAAGCAGGCAACATCAGTTCCTCCTTTTCTTCTCCCTCCTGCTTTCCCCCTGCCTCGTCTGCTGCTCCTCCCCGACCAACTGGGCCCCCTACCCCAGCAGGGGCAGCGCGTTCCGCGCCCGCATTGTTGTCACCTGCTGGATCTCGACCGCTGCTCGACGAGAGGTACTTGCTTCTGAGACGAGAGCGCCCGACGAAGGTGGCGGTAGCCGCGGAGACCACAGCCAGCACGAGAAGCCCTGTCACAAGCGCCGCGCTGCTGCTCCCTTCAGCCATGGGTAATCAATCCCTTTGGGTGGGGGCGGGTGGATTCAGGACTCGCCTGCTGCCCTTGCAAAAGGATTTGCAACACGTTCGTTGTTATTGTAGCAAACCAGAAACCTTGGCTTGGTTTGGACGAAACGATACACTTTGCCCGGTTGACGCCCTTTGCGTCCTCCCGGACGCCCTTTGCGTCCTCCCGGGTACCTGTGAGCACCCCCCCACTCGCGGTTTTGGAAGCACGGTAGCAGGGGTCAAGTGTTGTTCAGCACAGCAGGACGCGGCGTCGCTGTGGAGGAGATCTGCGCGCGAATGCGGCGAGATCGGTGCCTTTTCGGGTGGACCAGGTTCGCCGCCGCGGTCGGCGGTCGGCGCGCTGCTGCGCTGCTGCTGCTCTGCTCCGCGCTCGACAATCACGATTGCTGGGTGTTCTAACCGTCTCTCTGTTTCTGAAACGAACAACCCAGAGACGACAGGGACAACAAAGAAGGGATCCATACAGGCATGAACTTGTAGGGCTCGAGGAGGGCCTAAAACGCCACGCAGCAGCAGCAGCAACTTTACCCGAATGCCAGTTGAGCATGCCAATGCACCGCAGTCGGGATGGCGAATGCCTCAAGACGACGACGACGATGGGCATGGCATCAGCAGGACAGACAAGAAGAAGCACAACAAGAAGCACAAAGCGAAAATAGCCGCGCCAGCGTTACCCTCTCGCAACCTCAAGAGCACCAGAACGACCGCCGTGGTGGTGGCAGGGTGAGGAAAACTCATGTGTATTCAATGAAATACGAAGTACAGCCGAAACAGCATATACCAGCAGTCCTGTAGTCAGGTAGTTGTCCCCTGCTGCTGTAGTCGAGTCCAGACACCAGTCGGCCCTGTAATGCGTGGCTCGTACGCCATTCTGGTGTTGTTGACGGTAGTATGCATACGAACTTGTTTTCCAACGCCCTCGTGTTGTATAGACTACATGCCACGGCAGGACGTATCTGGTCGCAGGTACAATCCCTCGGCGGACAGGGTGAAGAGACCTTGGCGTACCTCACTCTCCAAAGGTCGTACTCGTACATGTATGTCCTGAACCTCCATTAGAATGGTGGCACGCACGTGTCTCGCCCCTTGCTCTACTGTAATGCGATCGTTTATGTGTGTTGACCTGTCTTTTCTCCCATGAGGACAACTTGTTTATGAAATAATCCCGTGTAGACTCTAATTTCCTTCGCCTTGTGATACAGTACCTACATCGCCACGAGCTATCCGTCATGTGCATACAGAAGTTTGTTTGCGGTGCATGTTATCGTGAGAAGGGTTATGCAATCATATTTCCTCTCATGGGCAACGAAATGGAAATTTGCGTGCGTTGTGGAAGAACGGCTTACGCGTGTAGTCTGGTGTTCATCTCCAGATTTGAAATCACGACCTTTACCGCCGTCGAAAGGATTGATGGAACATCAGATCACAGGCAACACAGAGAACAGGTATGTAGTCCAGAAACGGTTTGCGAAGCCTCTTCTATTCAGACCATGCCCTTATCATCAGAAAGAGTTACAAGAAACAATAAGCGCACACGTGAATCATGTTCCCTAACCTTGCTCTCTTGCCGTGTTTGTTTGGCAGGGGGGGAGAATCGGCGCTAGCGGCTGGGTCAGGGGCGTCAGCAGAAGGCGACGATGCGATCCGAAGCGGTGGCGGTTCTGACCATGAGTCGAGAAAGCACGAAGATTTGACAAAGTGTGTCCTGACCTCCACGGCATGTGGCTCTTTAAAAGTTGCACCATTCATTAGTGATTTTGAAAAGGAAACATTATCCCGACTGTCAATGTGGTGAGTCCAGGAGCAGAACAGGTAAGCATGATATATCTTGTGAAGATATATCGTCGACAGACCCACGCAAACGAGTTATTGTATCACTTGAAACAATTTGGTTCCTCGGACCTTGGGCCAGCAATGCAAGGCAAATCGGCATAAAGCATCACCTGTTCGATGCCCAGCGTGGTGTACTCCCGTGTCTAACGACCGGCCACACCTATGGACTTGCTGTACTTCCTGTTCTCCTTTTGTTTGATGCAGATCTGGCGCTACTCGACGGAAACAAAACGGGCTGAACCAGGTGGTAATCACCCGCAAACTTAGCAAGCACATCGTCAAGGAGACTAGAAAAAAAATCATCGCGAGGGAGAAAGCAGAGGAGAGTGAGCGAAAGCTCAAGCAGAGAGAAAAGGAGATGAAGGGGCCCGATGAGGACGACGAGGAGAGCGAAGACGGAATTGACCCAACAGCGGAGACGGCCTGGTTGCAGCCCGAGACTAGAGTGGCTCGCGTAAAAGCCAAGAAGATGCGAGGATTGCGCACGAACTCGGTCGAAAACTTGGAAAACGATGACCTCAACCATCTTTCGGCCCAGAGAAATTTCGTCAAGACCGGCTTCTGGAGGTGTCCCAACCCCTTCAGGAGAAAGCTTATAGAGGACAGGTAGGCCCACGGGTATGGTCACTAACGACACGAGCGCTTGGGGGGTGGGTGGGAATCTGTGAAGCTATGAAAACGGGTTCTGGCAACGGGGATGTATCGGTACCCGTGCATCGAATGTCCACTGGGTGGTGAGATTAACATACGTCAGATTTCAGATGTGTTTTTCATCGAGCGCGCACGAAGACTCTCGCTGCCGTTCTTTAAGAATAACAAAGGGTATGTGGTAGCAGCCAATGCCTTGTTCCTGCGTGAAAAAATTAGCGTGTGTTGTGGGTTGCTCGTGAATATTGTGGCGCCAAAAAGACTGGTGAAGGTATCCATCGCGATCTACCTCGCAGTGTCCTCCAGACGAGCGGGCACGCCTGTTAGTAATCTTGCTACGTTGTGGTCGCCCACCTGCATACAACATTCGTTGCCTGGAACCGGGCGCCTAGGCAAGAGCTCCTCGGCATCCTCAACATGCCGCGAAACAAGAGGATGAGGAAAGCCGGGATCAAGGAGTCTCACCTAGCGAGCATCGTGGACGTGTACCGAGACGTGATGTTCAACGCGCTTGCCCGCATGGAAGAGGACGAAGCGGGAGACGCCGGCCCCCTCGTTGGGGCGAAGAAGGCCGACGGCAAGGGGGTACGGGTGTCCTTGTTCACGGCCGCGCTCGGCATATCGCCGTATCTCTTCATGAGAGAGGTGAGTCGTAGACAGCGTTGGGACCTTGATCGATGGAAGTGCTCTGGAAGAGATATGCGCGCGGTTGGAAGTATTGTTGAACAGCTTACCAACGAGGAAGACAGCTATTTAGGGTTGTGCCCGCCGCGCGTGTATACGCCAGAGCTGGCGAGATTCTTGCACCCTCCAGTGGCTCGGCACAGCGACCTGGGCCTACCCACTGCACAACAACCTAGCTTGGGGTTAGGGTTAGGGTTAGGGTTAGGGTTAGGGTTAGGGTGAGGGTTAGGGTTAGGGTTAGGGTTAGGGTTTAGGGGTGGGTTGGACCTAGCGAGGCCTAGCGCCGTGGTGTAGCCTTAGGGCTGGAAACCCGCTGTGCCTGAAGTTTCGTGTCTACCTCCAACTACAACCCAAGAATTGTTGAACTGGCGAGTACAAGAATCTCGCCAGCTTTGGCGTATATACGCCGACCGGGGTTGTGCCCGTTCCGACTCTCGCTAAACTTTACGCCGTGTGGTGATCCAGGTTGGATCCCCGTCTATCATCGACAAAGTAGTGGTGGTGAATTGGGAGGGTAACACGAGAGGTGAACGTCGACGCGAGGGTTTGACAACCTGCACGCTTGTTTCTCGAAACCGGAAACGAGACACAAGCACACTACTACCATCTTTCCAACGCTCTGTGACCCTCGGTGTTCGCAGGTTCTTTGGGCGAGCAACCGATTGTACGCCCACGCTGTCGCCGGTGAGATGAACCGCGCCACGTGGGTGTTTGGGTGTATTGGCCTCTGTCTCATGTCAGAGGTGAGAGCAGGGTCAACGACAACTCTGCTTAGAATGTAAACGCTGTCCGGCCATGGAAAACCACTCGCTTTCTCCGGGACAGTTATGAAAAAAATGATAACCGACTACCAAACCCCACGTCGCTTACTTCGACAAAGGGAAGTATAGTGTCAGCTACGATAAGATCCCCGCCTGTGGACAAAGAAGCACATACCTCATCCCATGGGCCGTCAGCCTCGTCCCCGCCCCCCCCCCCTCCCCCTTGTTCTGAACGAAACATCTCCCCCCCGCACAACCTGCATGACCCCTTCCCCCGCCACTCAACGACAGAGAGAAGTGGTGGATTTCATCTTCAACACCTGCAAGGTGACGGAAGCGGGAGAGCTCGAGGTGGGTGAGCTGGACCGGCTCGCGAAGAGCCTCCACCTCTCGAACGACGCCTTCTGGCCGGCGTTCTCCCAGCAGCTGGAGGACATAAACAAGTCTCACCAGAACGGGGACCTCATCATGACCCTCGACTTCTTCCAAGACATGCACCACAAGTATCCCATGATCCTTTACCCTGCGTTGCGCGTCCAGGTGAGCAGTGCAACATTGTCAGGAAGGGTGTCGTAGGTGCGAGTCGTTCCAAAGGCCACCTGCTGGGCATATACCAGAATTGTTGCGCATGTGATGGAAGCAGACGGAGACGTACGAAACAGGTGCCGTTAGTGCTCGTTTGTTGCTTGCCTAATAATAGTGTTCAATGAACACACGCGTACATACTGGTACCGGTAAAGAACGGGCCACAGATATTTTCTTCGTACCGAGGAGGCACTCCCAAAACTGATCGTCGCGAAACGAGCGCCGTTGGTAGGAGGGGGGCCGATCCTTTGCTTTCGCGACAGATTTTCCCTGAAGCACACACTAAGCGAAGTTGGGGTAGCTCAAGAGTCCCCCTTTTTTGTTTTATCAGAGGTTGGGCGCTGGTCGCCGGGTGAAAAAATGTGCGCACCCTATAGCCTGCATGACATCCCCAACTATCAATTTGGACAGGCATGCGTGTCGTCAGTACAAGCAAATTCAAAAGCACCCACGCTTCAAGGCGTTCTTTTGGGCGGGTTTGGCGTTGACTACGAAATTGTTGGTGCCCACGCTTTTGGTGCCGTCAGAGCGTACAAAGCTCGTACAAGCGCCATTTTTCACGTCCGTTTTCCACCCAAGAACTCGTTTCGTTGTCGGCGGAGCAAAATCCTCCCAGATTTATTTATTCGCGGGTGAAAGAGTGCTTCCGACGGTCGATAGCGTTCGATCACGTCCAGAATGCGGCGGAATGTGGACGCAGATCCGGGGGGTACATGGGGGGGGGGGCGGTGCAACCTCCTAGGCCAGCCCGGACCGTTTCGTTTGCGCCTGCGTCACTATGCATTGCCCTTTTTCTTTCCCTCGCGCCAAGTTCTTCCCACACCGAAAATTCCCCTCGTTGATGCTGCAGGAGCTGGTTCAGCGGAGAACGCTCGGACTGCGCGCTTGGGGGCGGATAAACAATAGATTAGACAACTACCTTGTGAGACAGAAGCGCAACGCCAACAGAAAACCATGCTGTCTGTGGGTTCTCCTTGGCTTGAAACGATAAAGAGAGAAAGCTGTGTACAATTTTGGCATCGAATTTAGAGTGCAGAGGAAGCAGGATAGTTTTTACACTCCGGCGGCAAGGTAAAAACGCAAGAAGGAACGGGAAAGCGTTCATGGAAACTTTGCTGGCAGCTACAAACGTATTTTTGGCTCTTGGAAATCGCTCAAATCTGCTGATTGGGTGGTGAGATCGCGGGTCGTTCAATATCGGCAGATCTCCGCAAATATGACCGACATCCTGTGTCTTGTACGGCTGGTGCTCGCCGCCACTGACCCCAATCTCCTGAACTGCGGGTTGACTGCAGTAGCTGATGCCACTATCTACTGCTGAGGACCCTCTGTTTAGGATTTTGCGGTCTGTGGCGGTGAGCACGGTTGTGAAAAGTGTGTCGTTCCGGCAGGTTGAGGCGCAGATTTCGGACTGCTTTCAGAGGCTGCTGCGACCTTCGATATTTCAGCTCCAGTAGCAAACCTGAATGTGCCAGCACACACGACGCCTCTTCATTGTGTCCTCTACTGGTGACTGTAGAGTTCATAGAACCTGAACAACGGGTTGCTTTCCTTATATTATTGGATTTAAGGATTAACATAAGAGCCAGCGTCAAAATGGCTTGTTCTTCAATCCTTCAGGCATCACGACGATAATTGCGCCGTTTGACTGCAAAATTGGAACCTGTTCCAAGATCGATATATCTGTCAAAGAGCGGGAAGGAAGCCATGCCCGATACGGCCTACAGCAGGAGTGTGACTATGCCGATGATGAACGCGATCGGCGCCGCAGATGGCTCTACCAGACCTGTCAGGGCCCCCACCTACACGTAGTCCACGTGCGCAAAAGTACCTGTTTTTTCGCATGTGTACAAGCACCATCCGTATAGCTAGCCTACGGAAGACGCTCAGGGACCACGAGGAGATTTCCCTACAAATCAACTTCCGCTGAACAAACCTATCTTTAGAATGAAAAGTCACTCAAATCAAGGGAAGAACACATGCTTGACAGACCCGCAGGGCGGCAAAAAAGGGGCCTCGCGCTTGCGAAGCAGTTGTGAGCCACCCAGTATACACCAAACGCTTGACGCCGACCGATCAACGTGTTGGAGGTTCGCCGCTTGCCTCGTGTCTACTGCACACTCTCTCCTCATCATCGTGTGGCTTGCGCGGCATCACGGGCCTCTGGAACACAAACAAAGTGTTAATCGAAATCTGCGAATCCTCTCTCCTGCGGGAAACTATACACACCCCCAAGTCTCGATCGCCCCCCCCCTGACTTCAACGTGTCCCTCCCATTCCATGGCATAACACCCCTCCAGCACAATCAACCATGAGCGAACTCGGTCAGGGGATGCCCCATCACCTAACGAACCGCTGCCGGAATACGCTGTCCTGGCCCGACTCCACCTCGTTGTCCACACCCTCACTTACGACCTTCACACCCCGCCGGGTTTGCACCTCTTGTTGCCACATGCCGCCCAGTACCTCTCCGGCCTTACCATCGCCACCTTCCTCGCCTTGTCCACGATCCCTTGCGGGATGCCATTTGCTCCTTGGGAGCTTTCTGCAGTCGCTCCCGGAGCTGTCGCACAAGAGGGCCACGTCGGAGATGTTGGCCAGGAAACGGCTCCGTGATCAACGTCTCCGGC